TGGTTTCTTCAAACATGCAGGCAAACTGCAAGTTCCTGATATTTGCACATCATCAATCAATGATTGATTCAATACATGAGTATTTACTTGTAAGTTTTTCATATTTTAGTAGATTTTGAGAATTATAGACTACTTGAACATTCCCTTGTTTTGCAGAAGAATAAGGTTGGTTGTATTAGGATTGATGGCAGCACTCCATCAGCATTACGACAAGATTTGGTGACAGATTTTCAGAAAAAAGAAACAATTAAGGCTGCAGTGGTAATGTCATTAATGTGTTTATAATTAGTCAAAACAGTGTAATTTTACTGTCGGAATGATTTCCTTATCGATCCTTAAATACAGTTGGAAAGTGATATTATGTAGGATGGAAAATAATATTGTTATAACTATTGAATTGTAGCTTTCCATCAGAGCTGCGGGAGTTGGGTTAACGTTAACAGCCGCAAGCACAGTGATATTTGCAGAATTATCATGGACTCCAGGTGACCTTATTCAAGCCGAGGATCGAGCTCACAGAATTGGCCAGGTGAGCTACAGAATGTATAATTATTTCAGGATGACTTCTCTGCTTGAATTATTTTCAAATCTGCTAGGATTCCTGGCTTGGCTTGTTTTTTGTTGCTGCAAGCTCAAATATTCGATGGCCAGTATTGACCACACTATACTTAAAGAATCACCCTCTCCAGGACTCTCTTTCCACTTGAGCTTTGTATATTAAGAATGCGTGTGTGATTAAGCAGTCTTAGCCATGAGATTCATTGATGTCCAACTCCAGCTTCATCCATTACAATGCTCGTTTGCAGAGTCCTTAAATTCATCTTTGACATGCTTACCTCGTGATGGTTCCTTAGCACTTAATGCACCCAAAAATAGAAAAATAAAATGAGCATAAACAGCAAGACACTGATTCATTTGTCTTTATAAATAAAAAGTAAGACACTGATTCATTTGCGGTGTTTTGGTATTACCTGTCTGGATTCCAATACTTTTGTTTAACTACTGATTTTATGGGTGCCCCTGTGTGTCCATTTATCAGAAGAGCTAACCAAGAATTTCAGAGTCAGAACTTAAACAAACTTCCTTTCTAGGTGTCCTCTGTCAATGTGTGTTATCTGCTGGCGAATGACACTGTTGATGACATAATTTGGTATGTTCCCTTGTTACTAGTAGAGAATTCCGATTTATTCAACTCTGAACGGATACCAAATTAGAAACTACGGTGTAATGGTTATGTTTACGTCTCTTGTGCAGGGGTGTCGTTCAGAGCAAGCTTGACAACCTTGGACAGGTCTTCTTCTGTTTAATTCTTTATGTGCTTGAATACTTGAGGTACAAAACTGACACCCTAAGCTAATAAATCTACAACTGTATATAACAGATGCTTGATGGCCAGGAGAAATCATTGGATGTTTCGACTAATCAGTCCCACAGCAGCTCTTCAAAACAGAATACCCTCGACTCCTTCATAAAGCGCTGTAATAACTCACCACCTCAGGATCCCAGCAAAAAACATTGTCTTCAGTAAGCCACTCAAGAACAAATATTGAACCCCCATCTTGTATGCACATTACTGTATATTCGACTAGTGGTATGATACTGTTTTTGCAAGTAGTATGGTGTATTCCCTCATTTTTGTCTGATAGATGTAGGCTGTTAGAAATGCAGCTTTATGGTAAACACATTTTTTGTTTCAACTATTTTATCGCCTTTTTTTTTGTGTATGTTTTGAATATCAGATGATTATTGATATCGATCAATCAACTACGCCTTAATTTCAATTTTGGGTGTACATTTTCATGTCTTCAAATGAGTGTGTTTAGTCCCTTTCTATATGTTATATATGATATTTAGCATTTGTTAAAGATTTACATGCAAAGTTCAAATCATTTGTAGATTAAATCATACATCACAAGGACAAAATTATACCAAATATAAAAAGAACCATCTCACTATATAATGATAATATTCACATAAATAGCAAACTTTATCTATATTGCTGATATTTACATTACAAAAAAAGATTCAAACTCATTGCCAAAATCCCAAAAAAACCTACCTACTATATTGCTAATGAAAGAAAAAAAGATTTAAGGCAAAGCATTGGCCAAGCCTACTTCTTGATATCTGCCAAGTAAATTGGCTGCAATTAGACTCACATCCTCTAAACCAACCCCAATACATAGAGAGTTACTTGTAGTTGGAGCAGAGCTAACAGCAACCGAGTCACCGGCTTGGAAGGCGTCCGAGATGCTGCTGCTGCTACACCCTGAAACTTTGACATTAGGACCAACTTTACACTTTCCCATGCATTTGCAACCAGAGACTGCAGCTTCAATCCCAGCAACGCGTTGGAATTCTTCTAGTAACGCTCCAGCGCCCAATCGCTTGCATTTACCACCCATACATACTTCGATTCTCTTTGTACCCTCTGCTGTTGTCGTTGTAGCTGCTGCTATAGATGATACATTAGACCTAGTGCCTGGTGTGATACTGCTGCCTACATTGCCAATGTGACAATCACTAGCTTCCAAGCAGCATTCGCCTTTTTGTTCAGGGACTGAAAACTCAAAACTTGTCGTCTTCCCAGTTGATTCCTCCGTGGTAGTTGATGGCATGCTTGAGATCTCTACTGTTGTATCGACTTCTGGAGTTGAAAGGGAAGGGTTTAGTGTTGCATTATCAAGTGCTCGATCACACGCTTCAGGAATTGTTTGAGCAAGTGTTCCGATTTTCAGGCTTTTCATGTCAACCAAATTTTGACATTCATCATCACTTGAATCACTCGATTCTGAAGACGAGCTTGAAGATGATGACATTGCACAGCTCCTTGTGTTGCTCTGCACTTCACTTGCTGCTACTTTCATCTTCATTTGTGCTTTTTCTTCTTTTCTTTTCCTCTTCAACTCCTTCTCCTCTGCCTTCAACTGTTGAAGCTGTCCCAACAATAGCTCCGCCGCCTCCTACATAGAGATAAACAACAACATAAATAAACTAGAAGAGCAATCACTAAATGTACTAGCACGAATAGCCGCGCGCCTCTACAAAAAAATCACAACTCCATTGTCTTCCTACTAACTAAACTTAGCAAATCAACAGGGGAAGGAGTTAAACATTGGAGGATTAACCAAAACATGCTGTTAAAAGTGCTAATCATGTTAAAACAAAATCGATTACACTGCAACAATCATCCAATGTACCACTTCAAAAGCTTCAATCTTTTTGCCAACAATGTCTAGTAAGATCTAAGCGTTTACAAAATTGCTATAAGTTTCAAATGAACTTCAACATATAACAAAGGCTAAACCTATTCAGAGACGAATCCAGGATTTTTAAACTCTAGTCTAATCCTACATCGATCGAAAGTACTTGATTCAGATGAACCAGATATAACAAACAAGGCTATGTATAATTGCTAAAGCTAGTAACCATAATTCATAAAAAGAAAAACTTACCGAAATTGTCTTCCCTTGAACTTGATCAACCAAATCAACATCACAACCGAACCCTAATCCCATCCCATTCAAATTCGACAAATTCTTCGTCAAACCCTTAAGTAATTTCATCTTCTTCTTCGTTTTCTTCAACTCCGCCATATCCTTCTCTTTGTTCTTCTTCTTCCCACACCTAATAATTCCACCTCTACCAGATGAATAATACTCCAAACAACCCTCATCGTAAAACCCACAACCCATTGATTTCAAACTAACACGTGAAACACTACAACTACGATTCAACGGATTGCTGCTAACTCCGACACCGGCGCCGGTGACTGAAGGAAATCGGCGTAAAACTCCGGCAGAGGCTTCCATTATGGATGATCAAATTCTTGTTCAACTTTACACTGAACAAGAATTTTTTTTTTCTTTCCTATAAATTTATAATTTTTTTTTTGATTATATAGTTTGAATAACTGACGTAACTGTTTTCTGACGTGGAGGATTTTGATTGGTTAAAGATGAGGTGGATGATGATGTGGCATGTACACCCGCTAAATTGTGACAGTTTTAAGTTTCCCACGTTTTTACTTCTTCCCGCCACGCGTTTGTGGTGTTCGTTGAACCGTTCGATTGAGGTTTGGAAGAATCGACGGCTGTGATTGTGCCAGATAAGTGACACGTGGTGATGTGAAATTGATTACGTGGCATATTCTGCGGTCTCAGTTTTTTTTTCTTTTTTCATTTTGGGATGTTAAGATAATTATCATAGCAAATATTTTATCAATAGAAAATATAAAATACTTCCTCCATTTTACATTTTTTAAATAGATGTTATTTCTATATTTTAATTTTATTATTACCGGGAGATTTGAATTTGAAAGTTTTAATTAAGAGCGGAGGGGTTTTAATGATTTTATTACATATTACGTTGATAAATATTTATATCACCTTAGTGTAATGTTTATATACACTCTACTAAAAGAGATATTTAAATGCGATAATTTTTTTTAAATTGCAGTGTTTATGATCGTGAAAATATTTAGAGATTTTTAATTAATTATATGCATATTAAACCATAATAAACGAAAAGGCTAAAACATAAAAAAGAAAATTGTTGATTGTGTACATGTTTACTAGCAAAGTTTGAAAAATAAGATATTAATTAGAGATTTAAATTATTAAATTATTAAAATAAAGATAAGGTATTAAACTAATTAGCTTTAGAATTTGTTAAAAGTTACTGTAGGAGCAAGCAATTAATATCTTTTTGGGGTTTCTTTGCTTGGACGGCTTAAAAATTCTCCAAATTGAAAAAAAAAAGATTATTTATTCCTTTCCTTAATCAAGTGTGAAATTAACAATTTACAACTCTTAATTCTTTTTTCTTTAGTTAAGCTAACTTTTATTTTACGTCACGTAATTCTTTGTATCGAGCCTAATATGATAATTTAATTAAGTCGGTGTAATGCAATAATAAAAAATTACAAGTAATATATAGAACCAACCAATGATACTTGCACTATTCATGTTTTCGTGTGAGTTATAGATCACAGGTTCAAGTAATAGAATCAATGGTACTTGCATTATTCATGTTTTCGTGTGACTTAGGTCACAGGTTCAAGTAATAGAATAAAAAATACTTGATTTATTCATGTTTTCGTGTGACTTATAGGTCACCGATTCAAGTAATAACGTGAATGATGCTTGTATCGGAGTAAACTATCTACGTTACAGCCATTGGTTTGCGACCCTTTGGAACTTGCTAAATGCGAGATGTTTTGTGCATCGGACTGTCCTACTTAATTCAATTCATAGTGCTGGCAGACTTTGATACTAGAGAAGCATAAATACCATCTTGTCTATTAACCAAAGTTTCATGATTTCCTTTCTCCACAATGACACCATCTTTGATCACAGCAATCACATCAGCTCCTTTAATTGTTGACAATCTATGAGCCACCATAACTGTTGTTCTGCCTGATCTAACTCTATCAAGTGCATCTTGAACTACTTTCTCAGACTCCGCGTCAAGTGCACTTGTAGCCTCATCTAGTAGTAGTATTTTTGGACATTTTACTATAGCTCTTGCAATTGCAACTCTTTGTTTCTGTCCACCAGATAGTTGTATGCCCCTTTCACCAACTACTGTTTCATAGCCCTGCACATTGTTACATGATGAATCTTTATCTGTCTGATATGTGCAAATTCTAGAAAATGTTGAGCTTAACTGACGAAATGAGGATTTATATAGTCGATCTCAACGTGTTTGAGACTGAGGCGTACCTGTTGTAAGCCACTGATGAAGTTGTGAGCATTTGCTAACTCAGCAGCAGCTAAGATTTCTGCTTCTGTGGCATCAGTTTCTGTTCCATATGCTATATTGGCTCTGATTGTGTCATTGAACAATATAGGGTCCTGGCTTACTAGTCCCATTTGCTCTCTCAACCATTTCACATTCAGCTTTTGAATTTCTAGTCCATCTAATGTGATAAGGCCTGAATTCGGATCGTAAAATCTTTGCAACAAGGAAATAACTGTTGATTTTCCGCTCCCACTTTCTCCCACTAGAGCAACAGTCTAACATAAAAGATTACATTTGTTTCATCACATTTGTAGTCAAATCGCGTAAGAAGAGTGGAAAAGGGTTCTATGAATAATGCGTTAGGATTTACCTCACCGGAGCTAATGGCTAGGGATATATCGTTTAGGACTTGAACCTCAGGTCGACTTGGATAGTTGAAACTGATATGTCGAAACTCAATGTTCCCCATCACATTCTCTAATGTCATTCCTGAGTTATCGCTCGAGTCTATCTTGGATTGCCGGTCAAGAAGTGCAAAGATTGAAGAGGCACCAGTTTTGGCTTTGGTGGAATCAGGAGCAAGGCCACCTGATTGAGAAATCGCGGTAGCTGTCAAGCTAAGACCATAGAAAACCTGAAATTCAGAAGTAGGAAAGTTAAATGACAGAGAAGGAACTTATAAAGAGAGACTTGACAAAAGTTCTATGTTTACCTCTCGAGACTTACCCGAAAAACCTCAGCAAATGTGACCTTACCGGACTCAATAAACCGAGCACCAGCATAAAAACTGGCAGCATTGACAGAGTACAAGCAGAACATCGAAAAACCAAAACCTGCAGCACTCACAAGCCCTTCTTTTATTCCAGCTCTAACTGGATCTTCACATTTTCTTTTGTACAATTGCACCACCTTCTCTTCGGCTGAGAAAGAAGCCACTGTTCTGATACTTCCAACTGCTTCACTCGCAACTTGACTTGCATCCTCATATAGTTTCTGCCAAAAAAATCACTTGCATAACTGCTAATTGCTAATTTTACTTGCTGCATTTTGTTAGTACAGAAGTTTGAAGCTAACCTTAGCATCACCTCCAAAACCACTAACGTATTTCATGTGAAGATATCCGTTTAATCCGATTAGAGGAACCATAACTATCATTATGAGTGACAATTGCCAGCTTGCTTCTAGTCCAATAACTAAACCAGCTATAGCCGTTGACGTGTTCTGCACAAGCAAAGCGAGTGACTCTCCAATCATACCTCGGACAGATGCTGCATCTGTAGATAGTCGACAGCCTATTGCCCCAATCGAGTTCTCCTTTCTATCAAACCAACTAATCTCCATGTAAACTATCTTCTCAAAACACATTAGGCGAATTCTCCGTATCAACTTACATCCTGCTACAGCGAAAAAGAACGTCCTCAAGGGTGTCGCTAGTAAAGATGCCAATCCTAGACCAAGAAATGACAATGACCAAAATCTTGAATGCTTTCTGAGTTTATGAGCCGGCTCATAGAATGTCTTGATAACATTAGAAAGAAGTACCCCGAAAATAGGTAATATTAGAGCATTGACCATTGCAGCTATGCAACCAAATAATAGTTCTGGAATCTCGCGTTTGTTCATTAAGGCCAAGCGACAAATCGTGTTTTCTTTGCCCTTACTCAATACAACTGTTGAATTAGGATCATGACATTCACCAACTGCTTTCTCTGCTGCACTAACTGACATGGACGACAAATGATGGCTGCTATTCTCAATCCTCGCCGAGCCCCTACTTGCTGATCGTGTCACAGGAATCTGCTGATTTATGATTATCTCTTCACTATCCAGTTCATTTGACTCTTGCTCTCCTGAATATTTGCTAAGCTCTTGCAACTGTATAAGCTGAACATATGCTCCTTCCTTGTTTCTCATTAGTTCCAAGTGGGAACCTAAAGTTTGAAAGGTATAAGTAATTAGCATTCTGAAAAAAGACAAGATTCGCCAGGTAACAGAAGAATACATAAATTTCTGCTAGAGTGAAGGTTCAAAAACACGCCTAAAGTATTCCGATTTTTTAAGTTTCATATCTGAGCTATCAGGTAGGAAACTCCCACACCTGATAGTTCAGGTATGAAACTCGAAAAACCAGGATACTTAAGGAATGTTTTTAACCGTTAACTCTTTCTGCTATCATCTTTATAATCACATTGATTTCAGCATGAATAACTAACAATCTGGAATCTGGTTTACTGGAAAAGATCAGTATATATGACACACCTTTTTCGACGATCTTTCCCTCCTGAAGTACAGCTATTGTATCTGCATTCTTTACTGTGCTCAAGCGATGTGCAACAATTACCGTAGTTCGGTTAATCATGACACTATCCAATGTCTCTTGAACAATCCTCTCAGATTCTGCATCAAGAGCACTTGTAGCTTCATCAAGAAGTAGAATTTTGGGGTTCTTCAGTATAGCTCTTGCAATAGCAATTCTTTGCTTTTGGCCACCGGATAACTGATTTCCGTGATCGCCAACTCTGGTATCTAGTCCCTGAATTAGAAGGAGCAATGGCCAAAAATATTTTTTATAAGCTATTGAGAAGAACTTTCGATAGCTATTACTTGATGGAAATTAAAACGGAAGAACTCTAGAGCCTGACCTGAGGTAATTTATCAATGAATTTGGATGCATTGGCAAGTCGAACTGCATCTTTAATTTCTTCAAGTGTTGCATCATCCTTCCCGTAGGCAATATTATCCTTTATCGTCGAACCAAACAGCACAGGTTCTTGGCTAACAAGGCCAATTTTTCCCCTGATCCACCGAAGCTGAAATTCTTTGATATTTATACCATCAATCAGAACTTCACCAGCCTGTGGATCATAGAACCTCACTATTAGACTGATCACAGTCGATTTTCCACTTCCACTTCGCCCTACTATAGCTGTCGTTGTTCCCTTAGGTATCGACACAGAGAAACCATCAAATATGCTCTCTTGTGGTCTTGCTGGATAACAGAAATGAACATTCTTAAGTTCAATGTCACCACTAATGTCAAGAGGTTTCTGTCCTTTCATATCATAAGGATCTATGATAGGCTTTCTGTTTATCGTCTGAAACATTTTAAACGCTGCAGTCTTTCCAGCAGCAAACGCGGACAAGCATGGAGATGCGTATCCTAAAGTACTGCAATTACAATGAGAAGATAGAATAAAAGACCAACGATAAGTAGATATAATTCAGAAAATTTGAATGGAACCTACAAGGAGCCGGTCAGTGTAGCCATAATGACATTCATCACATCTCCTCCTGTATAGTTGTGTTCCAAAATCATTTTTGCACCATACCATATTGCTAAAGCATAACTTGAATAGAAGACAAACATAAAAACACCGAAACCAAGCCCTGAAGCCAAACCCTCTTGTACACCAGAATGGTAAGCTTTGTTCAGAGAATTCTGATATTCAGAAATAGCTCTTTTCTCTCCAGTATATGAAGCAACCTGCCCAAACAATGAGCAACTTAGTGAATGAAAACTCTCGAAACAGTTGAAAATTAAAAAGAAGTGTCTTTTTCCAACTCTTCATACTGTTCTAATTGAGCTTATTGTCTGTTCAGCAACAGTTGCAGCTTCTGAATAAGCAGTCTGTGCACGGGATGTTAGTTTCGCCAGAAGGATAATCAAGACAGCAGAAGATATGACTAGTGGAGGAATCGAAGATGACAAGACCAACGCTAGACGCCACCCCTTAATAAAAGCTATTACTAATCCTCCAAGGAATGTAGCTGATACCTGGATAAATTTTCCAACCTGCAGTTTAATGTGAATGCAGGCTAAGTCTTCCACATATATCAAATGGTATTGATGTACATAGGGCCTGTGTTGAAGATATACCTTTTCGCCGATGGCATCTTGAATAGTAAGAGTATCACTAGACAGGCTTTCGATGATAACACCAGTGTTAGTCTGCTGATCGAAAAATCCAATATCTTGTCTTAATACAGTTTTCAGGTATAAACATCTGATTCGAGCAGCCTGCCTTTCCCCCGTGACTGTCCAGCAAGCCACCTCTGGAAAGATGCTAGTATGAGTAGTGAGGTTTCTTGAACTTAAACTTTAACAATGGCATGAAAATAGAAGAAGGTATATCGTCATGGCAAGTATACATACGGATAAATGTAGCAAGACCTGAACCCAGAGCCAGATACACGAATTTAAGGGCTACCTGAAAAAAATAGCACAGGAAAGAAAACATTTTAATGAAATAACACCATGCCAATTCATCAGAACTTCTGCAGAACAATCCAAGTATCGGATAGTATGACACTCATGACGGAGAATGTGAGGATTACAGTCTCAATGAGGCATCAGGTACAAATCCATGAGATCTCCTTACATGTCATGGACTCGAGATGTCACAAATATGGTATCAAAGCTAATTAGACTCCATGGTGGTGTGGAAAAAAAAGTTTACTATGTCCTTAAAGGTGTATGTGATGGCATGATGTCCAATGATGAAGGGTGAGCTAATGAGTACAAGTGAACACGACACGCGCTATTTTGGACTTCATGTGTCTCAGGCTTACAGGCCACAGCAAAACAGCTGAAACTGTGATGTCTGAAGGGTCAAAACGACGATTTGGGCTATGACTATCAGAATAGCATCCTATCGAAAAATCCTTGTACCTTAGAAACTTCATGAACAATTTTTTCGCTATCCACAGTCATTCCAAAGGAATCAACTAACTCTCCAAACAGTACAGCCATCAGGGGAAAACAGATTCCACTACCAACAGCTGTGATCATACCAATAACCATCAAAGCATGATCTACAGGGTCAGCAAAGGAAAACAGCTTATAATATGGAACTTTATCAGCAGCAACCACTTTCTGTTTCTCTGTATTGTCCGATACTCGTGCACAATTCAAGCCATCTGAGGATTCTAAAACTTCATTTTCTATGTTATCAGTGCCTCGTCCACTCGCATTCTCTTCCTCCATCAGTCTGATTCTCCAACGATCGTTTTAATACCAGCCTGTAAGCAAGATAATAAAGCATAATGAACATAACTTTGAAAATGATAAAACAGAAAAAGTCAAGTCTTTTAGTGGTACAACATGAAGTAATACCTCAATATTTTTTCTTAAAAGTATCTATCAAATAGGAACATGTTGAGTATAATAATAATAATAATAACAAGAACATCAAGATTATGAAACCACCCTATAATTAGGATTATTTAACTATACAACAACAATTACATATCAATACGCAGCCTTACCCTTACCTTGTGAGGGTAGAGAGACAGTTTCTGATAAACCCTCAAGTAAAACATATAAAGAAAATAAACAGTAACAACAACAAATAATACGGTAGCAACCAACGCAAAGGATTATATAAGTATGTTAATGAAAAACTACAAACAATAACTTGTGAAGTCAAGAAGCATTGTCAATACTCTTGAAATAACTCGAAGAGCAGAGAGACTGTTTCTCATAGACCTCGACTCGAAGAAAAAATAAAAGAAGAAAAATGAAGCATGTATGCAAAAAAGTAATATGATTGTCTTACTAGTTTTTTACTCAAAAGAACTTGAAAATGAACTAAGAATGAAACATATAGAGAATAACAAACTCTCTTTGTATTTATAGTCTTTCAAATAGACTTTAGATATATTTAATGTCACATCAAATGATTTTTTACAGATAAATTAAAGATGTCTTATTCCATACTAAGACATAATATAATTAAATTAAAATATAACTTAAAATTTTATTAACAGTCTTTCGTAGAAATGCAAGGTAAAGATGGTACAATAGACCATGTGGTCTGCCCTGGCCTTCCTCGAACCCCACACATAGTGAAAACTTAGTGCGTCCTGTCTTTTTTTTAGGGTCACAGAGTTAAATATGGTATAAAAGTACACAACGCTAAAGAAAAAAAAAAGATATATTTTCATTATTCACATGTTTGACCGCTGTAAAAAAGTCAAAGTATGAATACAATAGGATGTGTTAAGATACAATATAAATAATATCTTGTGTGGCCAAGTTTCTAAGAATGACAAAAATGTTGATTTCAGAGATTAAGGTGTTTGATCAAGTTTCTCAAGAAAAAAAAATTCTTTTTTACTAGTAATAAAAATTGAAAAAAAATAAGTATTTTCGAAAAAAGATTTTTGTAATCACAAATTTCGATTTTAAATTAGCAAAGTGTTTGATAGCGCCATAATAACGCTCAAATCATCAGCAAAAGGTATAAATTCCTTTTAGACATCCTCCAAATTTAATTAATTCCTTAAACGAATCCTCACAATAATTTAGTTATTTAATTAAACATTCGTACGAAAGATTTAATATTCTTTAATTATTATATGTTTAAGCTGAAAACGTCATCTTAATAATTAGTGAAGAAGACTAAATAAATAACAATTCTTTGATTAGTACTGTATTATTTTTAAATATTTGCTTATTCTTTCGCTATCTCTCGTTTACGTGATTATCTCGTTGTTGTTATTGTTCCTTTTTTATCCCTCATTGAGTCGAGAGTCGATCGGGGTGGAGCTAGTCAAGAGAGTTTGGACAAATTAACAATACCTTTAACGAAAAATTATATTTTTTATATATCGTTAAAATTATATTTTTATGTATATAATAAATATTGTATCATTTTCGATTTCTTTTGTGTGTTACTTCTTTCATATTTTGAATTGTAAGTGCAAATTCCGCTACTACTATTAAGGTAATGATAAAAATTAAGAACCCCTGTATTAAATTTATTATTATTTATTAATAATGTTTATGATGGAACTACTTTGCAATTGATTATTATAATATATATTTCTCTCTATTAATTACTTAATAATGTAATAAATTAATAATTAATAATGTAATAAATTAATATAATTTGATGTAAACATTATATATATATATATATATATTAAAGTATTTTTGAGGACCACTTTGCCTAATTCCATGGACAAGAAACTACAATTCAAAATTATATTACAAAGTTTCTTATAAAATATATTTAACCACTCCATTGCTAATATTGAGGTACTGGTTACAATATTGAGCCACCAAAAGTTAAGGAATCTTAATTGCATAATTTTCCAAATAGTAACAAACAAATCTTAAACAGGATAGTTTAATGCACAAAATATTTTATATTTATATAAAATTTATAAATGACATATACATAATTTATCATAATATAAGTATTAGTGATTATTTTACGTATTACGTATAAATAATTTTATCGTTACTTCGTAACTCCTTTGATTAGAAAATATCAGATCCTCTAGTTAACTAGGAAAATCAGTCAAACCAATTTTTATTTTATTTTTATATGTAAAAAAAAGACTGTCTTAAAATATAATAATTTATTGACTATGTATTTTAGAGGAACATAGTGGTAGAATGTTGGATATTCACCAACACATACCCATAATTCACTAAAAAAGTAATTAAATTAAGTAAATAATTACAATTGTTTTAACTTTTTTTTTGGTAGCATAAATGCCATATATTAATTAATTAATACATACAATTGACTTCTTGATCTTAGTTTCTATTTATATACACTCGAGTATAATATTTGTTCATATACGATCAAATCACCATAGATAAAATTGTAATTTATATTTTAGCGTTTATAATAACTTATAAAATTTTAGTCTTTGGAAATGTAACACCTATAATAGCATATTCAATATATACTTTCATAAATAATTTTACGCAGATAACGTGTTTAATGTGTTATTTCATGATATTATTTCTCTTATTAATAAAATTTCTAAGTATCTATTTTTTTAGTTGTTGAGAACATTTTAGTCTATGTATTTAATTAGATCTATAAACTATTTCGTATAGTTGTTTGTGCTCACCGTAAGAGGATCTAGATCCCAATATTTATCAATTGATGATCTCGATATATATGCGATCTTAGATTTGAAAAATTAGCTAGACTGAATTTTTGAGTGATTTTTGATGATTCGATAAATTAGGACGACATTACTTATTTTTGAAATACAATTTAAAAGAAGGTAAGTTATCTCTCCTCTTTACCTCTCTTAACACTTGAGATAGAATTAATTTCACATTAAAAAAATTCAAACGATAATAAAAAAATTCAAAACGATAAAATGATAGTAAAAAATAATAATAGATTGGGTGGCTTTTAGTCATTTTCTCTGTTATTTCAATGTTAACATCTTTATCTTAATTGATGTAGGGGAGGTGTGGTTTGCCTCTAAAATCAAGAATACATTTATCTTTTTTTATTTTTCTTTTTGACAATTTTTTTTCTAATTTTTCTAATTTATTTTTTAAAAAAAATCTACAAATTATTTTTTAATTAAGTTAATTCAGAAAACTGAAACATCATAATTATTAATTTAATAAATTTATTTAAAATTGCACAAAAAACTTATTCATCTCAGAGAAGTTGAAAGGAACATCTAGAAAAACGTCAATAACTGCTATCTTTAACACACTATACATTATTGTACGTAATCTTGACTTTCGCCTTTCGCCCTTTCAATTCGTCTTTCTTTTTTATTAAACCAAATAAGTAACGCATCTTCCATTCTTCATCCGTTTGCTCATTTTAGTCAACAATAATGTTAACATCTAATTAAATTGGACGGTTTATATATTCTCTCCGTTTCTTTTTAATTATCATATTATATTTTAAAGAATTTGACTAACTTTACTATCTAAACTAAATTATATTAATTTGATATTTTAAAATAAAAATTAAATGTTAAAATATTATATGAAAAATACTACTCCATTTATTTCAAAAAGAATAACTTACTTTAATTTCTTTTTAATCTGTTTAAAACAAAATCACGACTCCTTTTCTTTTTCAATGATACTTTAATTCAATTTTCCACATGATATGTCTAAGACCACAAAATTATTAAATAGTTAAATTTTTTTTCTTTATTTTCTTTAATTTTATGTCAAATCAAAATAAAACATTTTTTTAGCAAAAGAAATATATATTACAATTTTTAAATATCAATATTGATTAAAAAAAGATTGCATCTTAAAATGTTATCAAAATTCATATCATTTTTGTAGAATAAAAAAAATTATGATAACTAAAAAGTAACTGAGGGAATATTCAATGTCTATATATTTCTCTGTGTTCTTTCATATTTCTTATTTCTCTTTATATTGACAATTTATTTGTCATTGTAAAGCTTAATTCACTTTTGAAAATTATCAGGTTATGTCTAAAAGCTAAAGATCTATAATTTCACAATTTATGGTAAGTTGTTTAAATATATTACTTAGATTATTTTTGTAATTTTTTTTTTGTGTTCTAAATATAATAGGATTATGTGTTGTCAGACAGATCATACATCTTAAATATTCATATAAAGATTTAAGAAAATTGTTAGATTAAATATTTGTAAAAATTTATCAAAATATTGTTGGTTTATTTAGTATAATGATTTTTCCTCCAATTAAATTGCTTATTCTATTCATGTTCCCAATTATATTGATTATTTTCATATTCTCTATAAATTGAATATGTATAATTAATTAATTATTATTTGATATTCTTTTCTTTCTTTATTTCCTATCAAGAAAAATAATTAATTTTTTCTACACTTATAACTACACCACACAAATATTTATAGAAGACTAAAGGATTTTAAGTGATTAAAAATCACAGAGGAATATATATATTTGACTTTAACAATTAGGAGCCATTAAAGAATAATTGAATTGAAAATTAATCAGCGAAATACGATTAAGTTCATTAGTTAAAAGTATAAATTGAAATCTTATAAATAAATATATAGATTTCAAGAATCTATCTAATTATACATATTTTTCTATAGATAAATTAAGAATTTCGTAGTGTGTCAAAATCTAATATTTTTTAAATCTAAATATAAGATAAAAGAATTTTATTAGAAAAAAATTGATTAATGTTAAGATTTTTGCTAAGAGTTTGCAGCCAATCTATATGCATGCCTATAATATATCCATCAATTTGGCAAATTGAAGATAAATCAAAGGAGATTTTCTAACTCTGACAAATTCAAT